AAAGTTTCTACTTTAGAGGATTTCTGCTCCTCAGGCCCATTTTGTGTTTCTCCCACAAGATGTTTCAAAACTGTTCTTGCCAAAGAGAAGTAACGCAGACATGTTCAGTGAACAGTTCTCTCGCTTTTGTTCTTGTTTTGTTTGTTTTTTTACATGAAAAATAATATCAACTAGTGAGTGCTACGCCAGTGTAAGGACATGAGATGTAGATTGTGACCATGTCCCGTGTCAGACTACAGTTCACTTTTTGATTCACTGTAATGGCAATCTTTGTGGAAAAAAGTATGATTATGTAAACTAATGTGTGTTATCATTGTTATGTTGTTATTATTTGATTATGTTCCAATTAATAATAAACATTGAAAATGTGCAGAATGTCTGTTTACCTCCAGTCTCTGAAAATTATATGTCATTTTACTTTTTACTTTCACATAAATTATCATTTTTTATAACTTTACAATGTAATATTGAGCCTCAGTTCACCTCCACACATAATTTGTCTCTTATACATTTGAGAAATGTTTATTTCTAAATTATTATTATTGAATATTTGCAGTAGTGGGAAGAATTTGTCCGTAGAAGCAACCTAATGTGTAAATATTCAGTGTGTTTTATTGTCGTAAAACTTTAGGTAAATTTTTGAATAAAGATGTTTTAAGTGTAGCTTAAGATATTATATGATGCCAGTACACACATTAAAACACACCCCTTCCTCCTTGATCTCTTTCATCATCAGGATTTTAACCATTTATGTGTCAGCAACAGGTCAAATTTAAAACTATTGACTGAAATACAATCACTACGTGTCAGAAAAGAGAGAAAATGTGTTTAAAGTATTTGGTTAAAGTATCTCTGTGACAGACTGGTGACCTGTCCACATAATGTGTGCTGGGATGAGCTCCAGACTCCTTCCACCCTTAATGGGAATTGATGAAGGAAATGAATAAATGACTAAAAATAGAACCTCACGGGAACATTTCCTGGTTTACTTTATGCGTCACAGTGATAACAGATCACATTTTGTGTGATCGGTCTCCAGTTAGAGCTGTAATTCAATTCAGAGTCACAAATAAGAGGTTATTATTTTTACTGGTTCGGACAGAGAACTACAAAACAAAAAATAAGTAGTTAATAAAAGGAAGAATAAAATATCTGAGGCCTTTACATTACATAGTAAAGTCTATTTTAAATAATTAAATGTATGTTTATGTAAATAAATACATAATAATAATATTTATTAATGCTACTAATAATATTTATTAATATTAATGTTATTGTGAATAATAATAAGGTTTATTAATAATAATAATGTTTATTAATACTACTAATAATATTTATTAAAAACAATACTGTTTATTATTAATAATAACGATATTTATTAATGATAATAATGTCTATTATTACTAATATTAGTTTATTATTAATATTATTAATATTAATAAAAATATGTGTATTATTAATAATATTACTGTTTGTTATTAAAAGCAATAATATTTTATTAATAATAAACAGTATTGATAATACTAAAAATATTATTATTATTATTAATAATAATATGTTTATTAATAATGACATGACTGTTTGTTATTAATAGTAATAATATTATTATGAATAATAATATTTATTAATAATGTTTATTATTAATAATACTAATAATGGTTATTAATATTAATAATATTTATTAATAATGTTTATTATAAATAATACTAATAATGATTAGTATTAATAATACTAATAATGGTTATTAACATTAATAATAATATTATTATTAATATTATTATTGATAATAATATTAATAATAATAATATATAATCATTATTATTAATACTAATAATATTTATTAATAGTGTAATTATGTCGTTATTTTTACTTTTTATTATTATTATAGTTATTATTATTATTATTAGTAGTAGTAGTAGTATTAATAATAATGATTTTATGTATTATTATTAATATTATTATTGATAATAATATTATTAATATATAATCATTATTATTAATACTAATAATATTTATTAATAGTGTAATTATGTCGTTATCATTATTATCATTATTATTATTATTATTATTATTATTATTGTTATTATCTTATTATTATTATTATTATTATTATTATTATTATTATTATTAGTGTTAATAATAATGATTTTATGTATTATTATTATTATTATTATTATTATCATTATTATTATTATTGTTATTATTATTATTATTATTATTATTATTATTATTAGTGTTAATAATAATGATTTTATGTTTATTATTATTATTATTATTATTAGTATTAATAATAATGATTTTATGTTTATTATTATTATTAGTATTATTATTATTAGTATTAATAATAATGATTTTATGTATTATTATTATTTATTATTATTATTATTATTATTATTATTATTATTATTATTATTAGTATTAATAATAATGATTTTATGTATTATTATTATTATTATTATTATTATTAGTATTAATAATAATGATTTTATGTATTATTATTATTATTATTATTATTATTATTATTATTATTATTGTATTATTAATAATGATTTTATGTATTATTATTATTATTATTATGTATTAATAATAATGTTTTATGTATTATTATTATTATTATTATTATTATTATTATTGTATTAATAATAATGTTTTATGTATCATTATTATTATTATTATTATTATTAACAAGGAGCTCCAGCGTGTTCGATTACGTCACTGGTTAGCGAGGCCCCCATTGGTCAGCCGTGGCCGGAAGTAGACTCCGACCACCTCTCTTCTTTTTCTCTTTGCTCCGTGGCATTTTGTAACAGAGGCTGTTTGTGCTGCTGGATTTACATCAAACCCGACGGCTGTACGCGCAGGAAGGAATGGACAAAGGCGGAATTAGGTGAGCAGTTGGCTTTACACGGTAACAACAACTTAACAGGCGCTTTAATAGAAATAAATTAACCCGAAAGCGGAGTGAAGCACCGTCCGTCGCTAAGCTAGCTACCGAACCGTGTCAATATCCGGTTCGATCTTTCAAAATAAGGGCGCACTGTAATCGACAAAATATGTGTGAGACGATTTTTTAATGCAACTTAACTTCAGTTAAAACTCAGTTTATACAAGATTAACTAGTTTTTAGTGTTCTAATCAAACCAGAAAAGAGAAACAAGCTCATTGTTTTAATGATATGTTGAGAGATTACAGGCAGGACATCTTATTGTAAACACAACCCACTTTTGTCTGCTTAAATAGACTTTACCCTATAATAACAATTATCTAAATCAGCTGGAATTTATGAGTCCCTGTTGATGTATGAATGAGTAGTCTTTATGAGGGTTTCCACGCATCCTGGGAAAGCTGGAAATTAAGAGACTAGTTTTCCAGTCACTTGGAAAATTGATTAAAATGAGCAAATATACTGGAAATAATCTATGTCCAGGAAGTATTTAGTGTTTTAGCTCCTCACTCAGATCGCCTACATCAACCTGGGTGGGAATTTAGTTTGAAACTCGACTGTTTGGAGAGTAAATTGTAGTAAAAAGTGGGTTTATTAAATAGGCATCAAGAGCTGGAAGCGTAATACTCACATCTCCATGCATACAGCCTCATAACCATCAAATGTGTTGTTGTTTCTTGCTGCTAATTAATGTCGTCAGTTTTCCCCAAACCGCAGCTTATATGTATAAGTTTACTGCCACCAAGACTCTCAGTTCAGACGTGTATTCATAGCAAACCAATGATATCACTGAGACATTTGTACTGAAGCTTTCAGCCTTGTGTTGCATTTATCTTTGTCTAAAGTCCTTGGCAGCTAGAAACATATTACCTCAGGACATATTCTGCAACGCGTTGTCTGTTAAAGTTACTAGCAGAGGAGTTTCGTGGGAATCTATCTTTACATGTGGGGGTGTTACACACAGACTGAGCTGTTTGCTGAGTGAGCAGCTTTAAAAGCCGCAGAGCTTAATGCTGAATGTCACTGACATTACGAATGAGAAATCCTCCTCAGTAGTTCAGTACAGTGGTCGACTGCTGGGCTGATGAATAATCACATTAAGACAAAGACAAGTCTTGTGTAATTCTGTTTTATAGGACATTCAGACATTTATCTGCAGCACTATCTATTTTCACCACCTTCCCAAAACTCTGGATAAGACTTTATTTGTTCATTTGCCTTGTGTGTAAAGACATATTATTAGTACTAGTCCACAGGTTACAGACCTGATAGATGCTGTGCTTTGTTTCTCTCATTGAACTTTACACAGTCTCTGTTTACGTCGTACTTTTGGACAAACATGCACATAAAAATGTTTATGTCATTAGCTGTGATGTTGAAAATGTGTAAAAAGTCGTGTTTTAACTATTAATGTTTCCTTTCTGACAAGTTAACCGCTCGGTTTCTGTCCGTTGAGACATGAAACTCTCATTTTCAAGAGGGAAACCAAGTGCTGTGAACTTTAAGCAAGAAAAAGGAAGCGTTGTTTCTGCTCTTTTGATGTCAAAAAGCTATTAAAAAATAGTTTGAGAATTACTGTAATGTTTTTTTTCTGACACATTGGAGCGGTGGTTTCCAGCTCTGCCAGTTTGGACTCAGATCCCCTGCTGGTTTTCATTACAGTCGGCCTGAAACTGATTTACAGCTGCAAGGCGATGTGAAGAAAAGCCACATTCATTTGCTGTGCTGTGGTTTGACTGTGTGACCTTCAAGAAAACAATTGTGTATGGTGTGTGGTGGATAAGATGAGGTGTTTGAAGGCTCCACGAGGCTGGATACTGAGGATTTACTGACCATTAGGAACATATATAAATATATAAAAGACTTAAAAGTGGCTGGTTTTGTATGCGAGATAATAAGGAAATCTTAAATATTGTGGTTGGTAATATATCCTCATGTAGCTCCCTTTTGGCATCTTCAGTGTGTCGGGAGTGCTTTTATTTTGAAAAGGAAGCAGTGCAGCCCAGACTAGATCCCGAGCAGCTTTCTGTGGATCTCGCCCACCAGTTTTCCTCTGTGCTGTGGTTTAGCTGAGAGCTAGCTGCCGAGTGCTTAGCTCTCCAGGTGCAGCTAATTCCCTGTTTGTTCAGGTTCAAATTAAAACCTCTAACACGTCAAATCCTCGTGGAGGTTGGGACACATTTTGAAGATGTTGTTACAGGAAAATGTTTTATTCAGTGACTGAATGAAATTGTTGCAGGCAGGTGGGTTGTTTGAATGGTAATACAAGGTGTTATTGTCTGATTATGTGCTGCTGCCTAATGTTTTAATCTGAATCAGAGCTGTTTATGGAATATTTATACAAATCTTTACAAATGTTTGTCTGTTTAGTAAAATGTGTTTTGTCTTATTCTGGATTTCTGTGATTATCTTAAAGGTGATCATCACATGGAGTTACACGGGACAAATGTATGAAGGTTGGAGCCAAGAAACAAGACCTTCACAGTAAAATGACATAAACGTCCTTCTGAAGATGATGTGCAGACGCATGTTGTAAGTAATGTGATCGGGAGGTTAAGGGAATGCAGACTTGCCAGCTATAGCTTGTATGTGAGCGCGATGCCCAGGCGGGGGTTGCCGCTCCAGGGCCGGGTCCGCTGGCTCTTCCTGGGCCTCTTCCTGCTGCTGGTGCTGCTGCTGTTCGCGTACCTGCTGGAGTGCACCCCTCCTGCAGACGTCAGCCTCGTCCTGCCCGGCCTGGCGGGGGAGTCTTACGGGAAGGAGTACTACCAGGCGATGCTGCAGGAACAGGAGGAGCGCCACCTGAACCGTGCGGCCAGCCTCAAGCGCCAGATCGCCCAGCTCAAGCAGGAGCTGCAGGAAATGAGCGAGAAGCTAAAGCTGCTGCAGGACAAGAAGGAGCTCCCCGGGGTGCAGGGTCTGGCCGAGACTAAAGACCAAGAGCCGGGGGATCTGCTGGAGTACCTGCACTCTCAGATCGACAAGGCTGAGGTCAACACCGGGGCGCGCCTCCCCAGCGAGTACGCCCTGGTGCCCTTCGAGAGTTTCACCTCCTCCAAGGTGTACCAGCTGGAGATGGGGCTGACACGGCACCCGGAGGAGAAACCGGTCCGCAAAGACCGCAGGGACGAGCTGGTGGAGGTCATCGAGGCCGCGCTGGACATCATCAACAACCCCGACGAGGAGGATGGCGTGGAGGAAGACATGCCGATGCAGAGGCAAACCTACACAGAGGGTCACTTTTCTGAAGGTAACTACGAAACCAGACGGCAGACAAATGAGTCGCTGTAGCTCGCTTTGTTTTTCATGTTCTTTTATTTCTCAGGTCTGTACAGGACGGAGCGAGACAAAGGGTCACTTTACGAGCTCTTCTTTGCCAAAGAGGATTCCAGCAGCTTCCGCCACGTCACGCTCTTCAGGCCTTTTGGTCCCTTAATGAAAGTCAGGAGCACATCTGTAGAAACATCAGGACTGATTATTAACATCATAGTGCCGCTGGCGGGCAGAGTAGAGACATTCTCACAGTTCTTGCACAACTTCAGGTGAGAATGAACCAGAAACTGTCGCTGTGTGTACGAGACATGACCCAGCACGCTCCGTTTCATGATACTGTTTTCATCATTGTTGTGCAATAAGACTCATACAATAGTGTTCGTGTATTTCCTGATGTTTTTAGGGAGGTGTGCGTACAGCAGGACAGACGAGTGCATCTCACGGTGGTTTATTTTGGGCAGGACGGCCTTCAGGAGGTTAAGTCATCTTTGGAAAAGATGTCAAGGTTTGTCCTTTTGAGTGTGGGAGAGATTTGATATGCTTGTGCTAGTTTTGTGAGTAATGTGTCATGAGAATTTAAATCTCCTGCGTTCGGTTGTTTTTCCCAGAGAGGAGAGCTTCTCCAATTACACTCTGATCCCGGTGGACGAGGAGTTTTCACGAGGTCGGGGTCTGGATATCGGCGCCCACGCCTGGAAGAAAGGCGACGTCTTAATGTTTTTTTGTGACGTTGACATTCATTTCACTCTGGAGTTCCTCAACACCTGTCGTCTCCACACCGCTCCAAGTGTGTTAACTCTCAGATTGACCGTATTAATACTCATTTCAAGTTTTTGTTTACAGGTCACAAATATACTAAGATGCACTTGACTTTGTTTTGTAGATAAGAAAGTCTTCTATCCAGTGGTGTTCAGTCTGTACAATCCTGCCATCGTCTATGGAAATTTGGAGCTGGCTCCACCCATTGAACTCCAACTGGTGAGTTCACATTTATCTCTAAAGTGTTTTTGTAGAAAGATGATTTAAATCTGTTATTTAAAGGTCAAGTGTGTAACATTCAGGAGGCTCTACTGGTAGAAAAGGAATATAATATTCATAGGTATGTTTTCATTAGTGTATAATCACCTGAAAATAGGAACTGTTGTGTTTTTGTTAACTTAGAATGAGATGTTTTTATGACCCCACCATGTTTCTACAGTAGCCCAGAACAGACAAACCAACCACTGGCTGTAGGACTTTTGCGTTTTTTGCTGTCACTGTAGTTCCTCCTACACACTTCACAGCCTGTTCTCATTCCCAATTCATCAAGTACAGACGCAGGCGGTGTTCAGTTAGTTGCAGTCTGTAACTTCACTGTTAGATGCCACTAAATCCTAAACACCGGTCCTCTAAAGAGCCCCTCCAGACGTGTTTTAAGACAAAAAAACATCTGCTTGGAATCCTAATTTGTATCGGATTTTCCACAAAGACGTTCAACTACCTGTTTAATATTCTTCTAAAACCGGCACATCTTGAACTCAGATTTAAGGTGCACACAGAGAGCAGATGTCTTCTGCACAGTGAACAATAAGGAGAACACTTGAGAACACAAGGGGTCTTTACAGACGTATTTACATGACATTTAAATTCAATTTCGGTTCAATATGTTTATGGTAATCTCTTTTCCAATAGATTCACAAAAAAGATGCTGGATTCTGGAGAGATTTTGGCTTCGGAATGACGTGTCAGTATCGCTCAGACTTCCTAAACATCGGTAAGCACTGATCACCTCCTGCGATCAATATTTAATGAGATCATAAACAACTTTGACAGCTTGCAAATTCATTTTTATTCCTCCAGGTGGGTTCGATCTTGAAGTGAAAGGCTGGGGCGTGGAAGACGTCCACTTGTACAGGAAGTACCTTCGGAGCGACACGATAGTGATCCGGACGCCGGTGTCCAGTCTTTTCCACCTGTGGCACGAGAAGCAGTGCGCGGACGAGCTGACGCCGGAGCAGTACCGCATGTGCATCCAGTCCAAAGCCATGAACGAGGCCTCCCACTCCCACCTGGGCATGTTGGTCTTCCGCGAGGAGATCGAGGCTCACCTACGCAAGCAGGCCTTCAAGACTCAGAGCAAAGCAGCGGACTGAGGAAGCCTCCACGTACCCGACGTCATTTTCAACGTCAAGACTGTGAGGTGCTGCCATCGTCAACGCACTGCAGCAAAGACATGTTTACATGCATCCTTCTGCATTTCACCGCACAGCTGTAGACAAATGAATGTACAAAAACAAACAAACATTGATCAATGTGAAACTTCACAACATGGTACAACTCTTACTGAAGAGCTACAGCAGTATCAAACACAAACACACGATCAAATTTATAATCCAACCTGCTGAAGGAAAACCTACACATGTAGAACAAGTCGTACATTTATTGGGTTTAGGTTTACATTGAATTCACGTACTGGAATCAGTCAGCATGCTGTTAGTATCTGGGAAACATAACGTCTCATTAAGCCATCCTCTTCCTTTCTTCCTCTCTGCTGCTTACACTACCTTTCACTGCTCAATGTGACCTCAGCCAGCAGATTTCAGCTGTTTCAGATGATTTCCGCGTTCAAACAAGATCAAACCAGCAGTTACCATTTAGTGTTTTTATAGTATAAAAAATCAGTGACAGCCCAACTGTAAAACTATTTATTTACCGGTAAAAAAAAAAAAAAGGAAAGATAAGAAGTTGACCCTTACAAGAACCAGCAAGTTTCTACTGATTCTCAGCTGCAAGTTGAGGATCAAAGCAATTTACAATCTTTCCAGTATAGTGGCAGTTGTGTCTGGAGCCATACTGTTCTGTTAGTATTTTATTTGTAGGTTGTTTCAGGCTGGCAACGCGGTTTAAAAAAAAAAAAAAGGGATTTTTTGTGTGTGTGTGTGTGTGTGTTAATGTGACAATCAGTCACTTATCTTCCTTTTGCTAACGACAGCTTCTGATTGATCAGTCTAACAGAGAAGCATGTTGATTAGAGCCAGGAGCAAAGATGTGCTTATAGCATGCAGCGCTATAATATCAGGTCTACGTGGACCAGTATTATCATTAAAATGACAAAAACATGTATCCTTTATGCCCGGTGAGAGCTCACTCACAGCACTATGATTCCTAATACTGGACTGAGATTGAATGTTAACAGCCTCTCGTGTAAATACTTTTTCTAATATTTCTTTGTTTCATACGTGTGAGTTGAATACTTTGTCGTACGTGCCTACATACTTAAAGTGACACGAAATGTTTTGAAGAGATTGTTTTGAAGGCGTATCAACAGATCTCACAATGAGAGCGGACGTCGAATCAGTCCCAGAGGTCAGAGGTGTTAACGTTAATGAGAACAGCTGTCAAAACTCTACGGCGAGCAGGCGAGAAGTGCTTTATTTTTCTCACAATGAAAGCAGGTTATTCTTGCATCTCACCATGTTCTGTAATTATTTTTAATCAACGTCTTTTGCAGATATTACAGCTTTTTGTAGATAGTCTTAAAAAGTCTCCTCACCCTGCAGGAGAAATGTTACACGTCTTCCTCTCAGCAGTACAGAAACAGCTCAGACAGAATCTGTGCAAGGAAATGATTTTATTTTGAAATTTTGGCCATGAAATAAAACTTACAGAAGGCTGCATTAACCGCTGTTACGTCATTTCTGCTGTTAGCGTTTGATTTAATGGTTCATATTTTCAGTAAACTTGAGCAGTTCTATAATTTATACTATAAAAATGTAATATCAAACCTGTCTTTGAATCTACAAGCTCATTTGTTTGTTTCTTAATTTAAGACAAATGGCATAATACAATTGTATTATTCATCTGCATACAATAAACTACATGAATAAAAAATAAGAGGGAAAGCATAATCAAAATCCAGGAGAAATGACATGAAATAAAACCAATGGGAAAGTTTCAGGCTTATTTTCATCTCAGGTACTTCATTGTATTAATGTGCTATGTGTTCTGGATGGATCCCCATGGACTTGTAGATCTCTTTGAGAAGAAGCAGCGCAGTGTCTTCAGATTCCCTGTAAAACGACACAACAAGTGTTAATATAAAAGGATTTTAACTTCATCTTCACTCAGAGTGGAGCTTCAGTTTCAGGGGCCTAAAGATATTTAGTTTAATTACTGTAAGTAAGACGTGGAAACGTAGCAAATTCTATTTATCAAAATAGCAGCCAATTAATTTTCTAATTTATTAAAGGTCCAGTGTGTAGGAATTAGTGGCATCTAGTGGTGAAGCTGCAGATTGCAACTAACTGAACACCACTCGTGTCTTTATTTGACGACCTGGAAATGAGAACGGGCTTTCCGGGGGCTACCATAGAAACATGGTGACCTCCATGGAAGGCATCTGTAGATAAAACGACTCATTCTATAGTAACAAAAACACAACTATTACTATATTCAGGTGATTATACACTAATGAAAACATATCTATGAATATTATATTCAGTTTCTGCCGATAGATCCTCCTAAAACGTTTCACACGGGACCTTTAATCTTTGTTGTAATTTCAAACTGGTGGAGAGACAGAATTTTAAACTGCCGTTAACGTGAATTAGGTAAAAAGCCTGAATGAAATGAAGCTTTGTACCAGTAGCAGAGGTGACTCTGGAGGGCGAACAAGTACTCGTTGAAACTCTCGATGGGCTTCTCCTGCAGGACGTAATCGATGCGATTCCCTCCGTTCAGCATCCCGATCTTCACCTGAGGCTCCTCTTCTTTCTGCGGCTCAGGGCTCTCTGCGATTTTATGCTCTGTGAGAAATTCAGAATCCAGTTAGAAATCTCACGCAGTCAGAAAACGACTCTATCGAAGAGTCGGAGAAGCTCACCCTCCCGTGCCTGCTTCTCCTGCTCCTCGATCTGATTGGCTACGATGGCCAGCTCGGCCTGAAGCTGGGCGGACGCCGTGTGAGCGCGAGCGAACTCGTTGAGCGTCTGCCAGGCGCTCTTCAGGGAGCTGATGAAGCCGTGCTTCAGGTCGGAGCCCATCCTGGTGAGACTCTCCTTCAGCTCTGAAACACAAACAGATCCGTTACAGCCTCGTTTCTGGCATCCCAACATATGAAGAGAGAAACAAATTATTTTACTTGACCAGTTATACAACAAGAAAAGAAAAACAAAACTAGGAGGAGGAGAAAAATCACTGTTCAGTCTGTTCAGTTTTATTACACCATAGCAAGTTCAGTGTAAGAATAAAGTCTTTGTATTCTGCCACCACATAAAATAGGGCACCCCACCCATAAGGGGAAGAGGCTTGAGCTGAGGGCAACAACTCAGTTCTGACTCTTATGAAGACATGTTGATGAAAGCAGAAATGTCGAGCACATATTCATCGAGCGTCGTACCGAGATGAAGCCTCTTCCTCCCTTTGTGATGTGGGATCAAAACAGGCTTCAAGTCCAGGTCTGGTAATATCATGGGCTCAATCCTGTATGCCACAGGGTCCAACTGAAAGACAATGATGAAACCATCAGTGCATAAAGTGACTCAGCTTCACTGCTTTTCATCACATCTGGATTTTAGTTTTAGCTGCTTAAGTTTGTGTTTTCATACAGAGTAACTCAAGTGTGGGCAAGCAGGGTTAAAGGTCCAGTGTGCAGGACAACACTTCTTTTATTCAGGTGATTATACACCAAAACATACCTATGAATATTACAATCAATTTATGAATCAACTGATTCTCCTTAATGTTACACAATGACTGGACCTTTGAGGGGAGATTAATATGTTTATTAACAACATTAAATATGTAACAAACTAATTAAGAATTAAACTGTGTGAATGAAGGCCATAATCTCTGATAACTGATGTTGTCACTTTAGAGAAGTTTAGATAACGTATTGGTCTTTTTGTAAGAAAATGGGAGAAAACGATGAATCCTCTAGGAATTAAGTGCAGTTTGGTATGAAGGTAACTGACTGAGCTCTGTGCTCTGGGGACCAGATGAACTCTGTATATTGTACTGAGTTGTTGTTTTTGTTTTTGTTTTCACAAATAACTTTTAAACATATGCAGCTTGATTAGCAGTAATTCCTTCAGGCTGGAAGAGCTGCATACCGGATGGTAAATATTGAAGAATCCCTTGCACGTGGGCAGCTGGTACGTCTCTTCGATCTTCTCCAGTCCTCGCACCGTCAGGAACATACCGATCGGAGAGCCCAAGGCAAAGAAGTTCACCGGCTCAAAGTCCAGAGCGTGGTACACCACCGACACCTGCAGAACGAAGCAAAGTTATTATCCAACGTCATTCAGGATCAGCTCCAACATTCTCCCTCGGTCACATTTACCTGTCCGGTGCCAACTTCAAAGTAGTTGTAGTCGACGTGGATGGAGGAGACGGTGTTTCCCGCTGGGAGCGTCTTCACCGAGGGATCGGGAAGAGCTTCAGCAGCTGGTGGAGGCGCCGCGACCTGACTGACCTCTGCCTTCTTCTCCTGGGCTGCCCGACGCGCAGCCTGCGAGACAAAGACAGGCACACAACAGAGCGCGTTAGTCACCACCGCCGGGCTGAAAGCCTCACAGATACTCAAGAGACTAACGTACCTGCTTCTTCACTCTTTCTTCAACAAACTTGACAATCTTTTTCCTGGGACCCAGTGGGATTCCCATCTCTTTCAGGTCCTCGACTGTGCACATAAGCTGGAAGAACAAGAGAAAGGAGCAAAGTGAAGCAGCGAACATTAAAATTATATGTAAAGAAAAACATTGAAGGCCGTGTTCAACCATTGTATTTATTTTTTATATTGTAGACTACAAACCCCCGTTTTATTTATTATTTTTTATTCTTACAAAAGATTCAATGTCGATCCTCTCCTCATCAAAGGTACTCTTGTACTCAGACAAGCCCAGATGTTCCAGCACAGCAGAAAGATCCTCAAACTCCTCCCCGTCTTCTTTGGGCTCCTCTTCCACAGCCGGAGGGGTCGCGGCATTATTCCCCTGTGTGACCTGAATTTACAATTATGTATTATAATTAATTATTCTGAAATGATCCATCATGCACATCAGTGAAAACATGTATGAAGAATTATTACACACAAAATCTGATGTTTTTCAACCTGATTATCAGGATAATCGATGAACTGATCAACTAATTAAATAAACTGGTGTATGACCTGTTTGGTGTCTCCGTTGGCAGTGGGTATGATCGACGTGGCGAGTGCAGGAGAGCCGTTCTTCTGATTTGACAACAGGTCAAAGAGAATCAGAGACCCTGCAAGCAGAGAAGGAGACACAATAAACACCCAGAAGGAAAAACAAAGCCAGAGGTGTCGAAGCTAATCAGTTTATTTATTACCTAAACTGTGTCCAGACACCGATATGCCTCCTCTGTAGTCCGGGTTCCTCTTCAGGAACAGGGCATAAAGTCTGTTAATCTCTTGGGCAACTGTGTCCATTATGGTCTGGCAGTAAGTGGGACTGTTGTAGAAGAGCACGTCTAACAAAGTCTCATTTGTAAAGTGACGTAAACGTCCAGTGCTGGGCAGGGTAATCTTCTTTATCCTCCTACAAACAGAAAGAAGAAATCATTCAGTTAATAATTAATGTATTAAAAGGATAAGTGATGATATTCTGTATTTTTCTTATTTTTAATAAATCCCATGAAAAGACCAAAACCAACAATCTTCTGACATATATTGTCTGTGTATCTAAAGCCTGATAGATCTTATTCCTCTGCACCATAAAGCTTCAAAAACTATGAACAGAAACACACAAACAGACAAACACAGTTTATTTTGAATCAAACCACATCCTGGCTGGAGTCACAAGACCAGCAAATAATCTGCATCTGAAAACAATAAATACTTCCTCTTTTCTGAGTAACAAACAAAACAAATCCTAACAGAAAACTACAGCAACCAAATGTTTCAGAATATTAATGAGCCTTTTTTTTAAAACATAAATTATATTTTAGTGGCATCTAGTGGTGAAGTTGCAGATTGCAACTCCCTTGCTTCACCCTCCCTTTACAAGCATGAAGGGGAAACCATGGTGGCCCTATCGACTGTTTGGTTTGTCCTTCCTGGGCTACAGTAGAAACATGGCTAACTTCTTTGTTTTATCTCTTTTTTTATTTCTTTTGACTTTTGATTTTTCTTTCTTCTTTATCGGTTATTATTGTTTTTAATGTTGCATGAAGAAAATGAATATATAAAGTGTTAAAAAAAAGAAACATAGTGGTTCAACTTGGCAGCCTCCTGACCTGGAAGGAATATAAACAGCTCATTCTAAGGTAACAAAAACACAAAGATTCTTGTTTTCAGGTGATTACAGACTATTGAAAACATACCAGGATCCTCCTAAATGTTACACCTTTAAACATTTGTGTGTTTAAAAGCAATAAAATGCATTTGGGTACGCTGAGAGTTCAGGGAAGAAAGTATTGAGACACTAAAGAAATGTATTGTTGGTTTTGGTCTTTGCATAGAATTTGTTGACAGAAAACCGACATGTTGAACTCAGTCCCACAGATTTCCAGCAAACTTCCTTCTGTGTCCACAGTCAGTGTAAACGCTGCCTCCCCTCACCTGTCCACCCCTGTGGCATCTCCATGTAGAGCTGTGTGCCACTGGACGGGGAGGAACTCCACCCTGCTGATGGCGTGCTCCTCCATCGGATTCTTAAAGT